TAGGAAATATTTGCAAGAGACAATCTAGTTTAAGGAGTATTCTAGGAGACTTTTTTTCCTTAAATAGTTTATTGTCAAGTTGGTTTCCATATAACACCCAGTGCTCATCCCCACAAGTGCCCTCCTCCATGCCCATCATCCTCCTTCCCCTCTCCCCCATCCCCATCAACCCTCAGTTTGTTCTCAGCATTCAAGAGTCTCTCATGGTTTGCCTTCCTCCCTCTCCCCAACTATTTTTCCTCTTCCCCTCCCCCATGGTCCTCCATTAAGTTTCTCCTAATCCACCTATACGTGCAAACATATGGTATCTGTCCTGCTCTGCCTGACTTATTTCACTCAGCATAACACCCTCAAGATCCATCCATGTTGCTACACATGGCCAGATTTCATTCTTTCTCATTGCCGTGTAGTATTCTATTGTACAGATGAACCACATCTTCTTGATGCATTTGTCCGTTGATGGACACTTAGGCTCTTTCCATGTTTTGGTTCTTGTTGAGAGTGCTGCTATGAACATTGGGATACATGTGCCCCTAGGAATCAGCACTCCTGTATCCCTCAGGTAACTTCCTAGCAGTGCTATTGCTGGGTCCTAGGGGAGTTCTATTGTTAATTTTTTGAGGAACCTCCACACTGTTTTCCAGAAGGGCTCCATTGCCTTACATTCCCACCAACAGTGTAGGAGGGTGCCCATTTTTCCACATCCTTGCCAGCATCTACAGTCTCCTGATTTGTTCATTTTAGCCACTCTGACTGGTGTGAGGTATCTCAGAGTGGTTTTGATTTGTATTTCCCTGATGAGGAGGGATGCTGAGCATCATTTCATGTGTCTGTTGGCCATCTGGATGTCCTCTTTGGAGAAGTGTCTGTTCATGTCTTCTGCCCATTTCTTCACTGGATTGTTTGTTTTTCAGGTGTGGAGTCTGGTGAGTTCCTTATAGATTTTGGATACTAGCCCTTTATCTGATGTGTCATTAACAAATATCTTTTCCCATTCAGTCAGTTGCCTATTAGTTTTATTGATTGTTAAGGAGTATTCTAGAAGACTTCTGAAGCTGTATTCAGTATTTTTTGTTGAGACTGTGTGTGTGTGTATGTGTGTGTGTGTGTGTGTGTGTGTGTGGCTATGAGCTGGAAAAACAGAACACTCTTTTAGCCCTCTGACAGGTGCTATTACTATGTACAGAAGTACATTCACAGTTTCAACCATTCATTTGTTTATTCAACAAATACTTATTGAATGCCCATTAGGCACTGTTCTAGGTGCTGAAGCCATAGCAGTCTACTGGTGTCCTGGAGTTTCCATTTCCCAAATGAAAGAAGAATATTATTGTGCTGTCAAAAATAAGACACTGTCATCCCTATAAACACTGTGCACAAATTGAAAAAGACACCTAGCCAAAGAGAAAAAAAAATTAGAAAAGTTTAGACTAAAACCAAACTTATAAAAACACAAATTTTCTCCTCTAATTCCATAAATTCAAACTAATAGTAATCATTAAATTATTAGTGTGTCTCAATGCATGTTTTAGCTGTGAGATAAAGCAAAAACTAAAGAAGGTAAAAACCACTGATAAATGAATTTAAGATAATTTGACTTTTTTTTAAATTTAGAATTTAAATCTCTGTGAATTTAGAAGTTTATCAATTCTTTGGGGGTGTATTATAAGATGGTGGAAAGAATCAGAATAGGACATAAATATCTATTCTGTCAGTTAACTGTGTGTTTACTCCTTGAAATTATTTAGCTTCTTTAAGCTTAATTTTTTATCAGCAAAATGAGGGTAGAATACTTACCTGGAAGAATTAAATAATATGCCAAATTTAACTGTTTGGCTTATCAAAATCTCACTTAAGTCTGTTTCTTTCCTTCCCCCAGCCCTATTACTGTATGCTTACAACTCCCTTTGTCTACCTGTACATTCCACATGTTTCCAGTACTTTCATGTGACATAATATTGTAAAGGGCTTAAAACTTTGTTTTCCAGATTATTTTTTGACAGTGACAATTTATGGAAGAGGGTTACAATGAAGTATTATTTTAAATGTTTTAAATTATTTTTAAAAATAAGAATTTCTCATGTCAAAAGGAAAGAAAGAAGCTGCTAAGAAATCCTACTAATCTAGTGGAAGTTATTCTACATGGATAATACACTCACAGCCATAAAAGTGGCTTTAAATAATAGACAGCACCATCTATAAACAATGAAGTTACTAATTTAAGATCATCATTTAACTCATTTGTATGTTTATTTCAACTTAATAAACACTTTTTTGTTTTTTTTCTAGTTATTAGAAAATTGATTCATCCATAAGGGAAGAAAGAAAAATACAATGAATCTATTATCTCATTACCTAGAGAGAACTCGTTTTGCAAAATGTATTCAATCTTATGTTTATAATACAATGAAAAATGACATAAAAATCTGCGATAGCACATAATATGATGAGTTTCTTAGTTTCTTTCTTTTAAAAATACTCAAAGTGAATAAATGGTAATAGAGGAAAACATAAAAACCACCTAGTGGGCAATGAAGGGCATAGCAAAATGATGGGACACATGTATATAAAACTCTGATGGTATAGTTTAATCCACAGATAGTATTTTAAGTAGCTAGAAGAATGGATAGAGTAGCCTTTAGGCAACAATCACAAGAATATTATTTTTCTTAATTTTTATTTGATAAGTATTAACAAGTCTTAGAAAGCAGAATTTGAGGTTAGGCCTTTGACAGTTTCTGGAGTACAGATATTTTGTGTCTCCAATTAAGGGTTTATCCACACATCTAAAACCTTCAAATGAGCTGGGATTCTCTGGGGAGTTATATCAAAAGATGGCTCGGTGGACTGATAATGAGATACAGAACCTTTAGCCTTTTGATCACAAGGTCATTTGTAAGCTAGGATGGGGGTAACCAGAAGTCATTATTGGTCAATAACTTACAAGAGCAAAATGAATTGCTTAGCTCAGTTCAGTTTTCATTACCATTTGAGAGCTATTTGTTACCAGTTATAGATCCAATGATTGACCCTTTAGCACTAAAGTTCACTTGTCCTGAACAGGATCAAGATGTTTTTCACAAACCTTAGAAACAAATAAGCAAATCTATGTGTGCCATTATTCTGGTTGTTTCTTAAACTTCCAGGAGAGTCTATTCATCTACTTATACTAAATCTAAGAAAATGGATTTAAAACTTTACACTCTAAGAACAATTTACTTGGGCTTTTCAGAATTACTAGTCTCCTCTAAGTCACAGCTAGCTGCTTGTATATTTTACAGATAAAGATGCTGTAATGTCTTTTTCTTAGTACTGAAAATCATGTTTGTGCTGTGAAAATTATGCAGTTTTACTGCTCTGTTTAGTGACAAATTCCTGCCTGGATTGTCTGTGCTGGATGTGTTGGCTTTTACTAATGCAAAAGGCTTGTGGGATTATTCTGTGGTATATCCAAGAAACAGATGCTTTGTACTTCATATCAAAATTAGAGTTGATACTGATTAATATATCTTAGTTTAAATAACCTCATATTATATATCTCTAATGTGTTCACAATATAGTTGCAGAAGTGAGTGACAAACATTAAGGGGAGACAAAAAAGTATTAAGGTCAAGTAGTTCATATTTCAGAACAAAATTAGACCTTTCAAATCTGGTGCTCTGCATCCAGGATTTGGGACAGTAGTATACATCGACAATAATACTTAACCCAATAGGCACGAAGTTTCTAGTTACCCAATTCTGAAAGAAAAATAATTCTATGACTGAATATTCAGCAAGAACTTAATGACTGGCACAAAAATTGGCAGAAAGATTAATTACACATAGATCTGGCCTTCGGCTAACACAATAGACCATAAGCAAATAGAGAGCCAAGAAAATTCCTGCTTTATAATCTCAGAACCTAAGAGAATACCTTGCTGAAGCTGATTGAGGGTTTGGGTAATTACTGAAAGAATGAATGAATAGATGAACTGTTATAACATATTATTTATGTGTCCAAAGGGTCTGCTGCTCTTTTCTGTAGTAGTGAAATCAAAAATCCCATGAAGCATCTCTACTAGGAAAACAGCTCTCCTAAATTAGACCAATTTAGTTCTCTGTTATCTGCGGCAAATATATTTTTGCACCACAGTAAAAGTAAAAAAGCATTATATATGATTCCATTTTAATTTATTTTTATGTGACTTCACTTTTTATTCACCCATTGTTATCCAAAATTTTGACTTTTCATTCCATTAAGTGGTTCTGGTAGAAGTTTTGAGAGCAAAGCTTAAGTAAGTTCCTTGTATACCTATGTAATTCAATAGTTTATACTTTGTTGTTATTACATATCATCAAGAGTGACTTCAGGTAATGCTTTGGCTGAAGTATATTTATAAGAACGGGGGTATTTATATATTTTTTTCATAATTCAGTTTGTGATGTGTAAAAGGGCAGAGACCCTGTTAGTCAGGTAGTGTTTATGTATGTGCAAGCATAAAAGCACTTGAACAAAATGTGATTCTCTGGATAGGGCACAGTGGAAAACAAGTGTCACAAAGTTTTTCTCAATGTCCTTGCATAGTAGAACAAAATGTTAAGTTACTTGATTCAGCCTAAGCAAACAAAATTCCATACTCCCCGTCATCAATGTACAATTTCTCTTCAAAATCAGCAACAAACAGAACATGAGTGGAACTAGGAAAGTTATTTCATGTTTTTTTCATGGGTTTTCCTGATAATAATTGCCTGTGTTTTCCCATATTCACCCTTAGCTTTGTCACATACCCTTCACCACCTCCAGAGACACATCCTACAGAGGTCACGGATCACACAAAACGTACAGAAACAGGAACTCAAACTTCCTGAGTCCACTACAAAACACAGAAACCGATTTCCTCTTCATATCTCAAATTGGCAAAGCTCTGAAAGTGGATTCAGTGTGGAGCAGCTGTCTAAAAGACTAGAAGGATTGTATCTCCTAATTTCACCTGAGCTTTCTTCCTTCAAACTACTGAGATGAAGGGAGCAGGGCTATTTGTCCTGCTTTCGAGTTTATGGAATGGGGGCTTTGGGCTTAACACCACGTATACTTGGACTACACCAGAGGATGCAAGCTCCCCGGAGAACATGGCCTCTGCTACAACTCCTCTAAATAAAATGCCGCCAACCCTTCAGATCACATCGGCTGAGATAGCCACAATTCCTGAGGCAAGAGCCTCCGAAGATAGTCTTCTAAAATCAACACTGTCTCCATCAGAGACAAACACACCTCCTGAGGATGTAAGAAACCAAACTCTCACACCCACGGGGAAGACAGAAGGGGTGCTGAAGTTGCAGATTCTTGCCCTCCCAACCAAACCTAGCCTCAAGTCCAGTCCAAGAGCCGAGTCGGTGTTCCTTTCCAACTCTACTCTGAAATTTCTTCAGAGCTTTGCCAGAAAGTCGAACCAACAGGTAATCTCTCCCGACTCGGTTGCAGGCGGTGTGGGAAATCGATCCCCGCGGGAAACGTACCTCAGCAGAGGTGACAGCAGTGAAAGCCAGAAAACCAACAATCAAAAATCAAGCTTTGAAACAACTAGAGGAAAGTAAGAAACATTTTTCTTTTCTTTTTTCTAACTATAAAGTCTACTGTCTCAGTGTCAGAAAATGTTTTCATGTTCAAGATAAAATTCAATCACATTTCAATTAGATAAGGTAATCAAGCATTACTTTATCTAATGGAGAAAAGATGAACAAAAGAAATGCAGCAGTTTAGTTTTAATTGAAGTGGTCAAAGTCACTTATAAAGGGGCTTTTACTGGAGCTATTTACTAACAAACAATGTAACACCACAATGACTGTTAGTTGTTATTGTTAATTCAACTCAAGGTATGTTGGTGGTGCTCAGAACCACACCCACCACATGAAAGAAAAAAAAAAACCAACAATACGGTTGGGACGTGAACAGAACAGAACTTCATCCCATGGAAAATCCAGTGAAAATGATCTTAAATTATCTCTAGAGAAAATCGACTGTACTTAGAAACTCTACAGCCTGAAGTCCTAAGGCTTTCTTTTGCTAATCCTTTCCATCAAATCCAAGACTTCTTACTTCTGATGCGATGCAATTGAAAATAGTAGTAGAGGGGCGCCTGGGTGGCTTAGTCGGTTAAACGTCCGACTTTCGCTTGGGTCATGATCTCCCGGTTCGTGGGTTCGAGCCCCGCGTCGGGCTCTGTGCTGACTGCCAGCTCAGAGCCTGGAGCCTCTTTCAGTCTGTGACTCCCTCTCTCTCTGACCCTCTTCTGCTCATGCTGTCTCTCTCTCTCTCCTAGAAATAAATAAAACATTAAAAAAAAAAAAAGAAAATGGTAGTAAACAGTTCCATCCCTTATGGACTCAAGGTTGATGCAAAGAAGCTTTGATAAAGTCTTCCATATTTTCATTTGATTAGCAAGTAATAATAATAGTAAACACTCTGACATCTGTTCCTACTGTACTGCTCTAAGTGAATATATATATCGATATTTCCCCAATCATTTAATCACTACCATAACTCCATGAAGAAGATTCTATTATTATTTCTTTCCAGAGAAGTTATATAATTTAACCAAGGTCAATTAACAGTAAATCTCAGGGCAAAGATTCAAACCCAATTTGGCTGGCTGCAACAACATGGCCTTCAACTCCTACATGATACTTCTTCAACCAGAGTATGGGTCTTCAGCAGAAATATAGGTCTGTTCTCCTAACTGGGTAAATGAGAGTGACCAGTTTATATCCCTGCCTATGAGCAGACAGAGGCTATCCTTTGCTTCCAGAATAAAGCCCAGATCCTTAATCAGTTAGTCATACAATGACATCCTTGATCTGGCTTCTGCCCACTTCCCCAGCCTCATCTTCTGTGACTTCCTGGAAGGTAAAATTTGTAGTTCTCGGGTCCACAATATGCTGTTTGCTAAACCTATCTTTCTTCTGGCTAACATCATCTTTTCTCATCATCTACTTCCTTTAGCCCCAATAGTAATAGCTCCAAGAAGCCTTCTCAGGCTGCTAGGTGGCCCTTCTAACTTTCAGAGAGCTCTCCCTGCATTCTTCTATCACTGCGCTTATAATAGTGTATTACAATTATAGGGAACTTTGCGATCTCCTTTCTTACAGAGATGTATTTTGAGTGCTAGCAAAATCTCTGACTTATGATAGGTACATGATAAATATTTAACAAACTGAATGTAAAATTTACCGATTAATATGGGAATATAAAAAAGAATCTTTTCCAAAGACATATTCTTATTTCTCTATGATGCAATCTGGCTGATTCATTTTAGGTTTTTGTTGTTGTTGTATTTGGGTTTTTTGTTTGTTTGTTTGCTTGCTTTTTCCTTACTGCTCTTGGAATTTTATAGTGATTCTAAGTAAAAGGAACACCACCTCTTTCTATAGGATTTTTCTGGCATATTTTTGTCTCATTTTGTACTTTCTCTTGTCCTAGTGCTGTAGAAACTCCTGGCTACACCAGAGCTGTGGTTTCCTATCTGGCAGAGTGGTTGTTGGTCAGTGACTAAGCACTTTGAAATAGGCAAGATAAAAAGAAGCAATTAGAATTAACATATTTATGCATTGAGCAAATATTTGCTAAGGACCTAAACTGTCCCCGGCATTGTGCTTGTGCTGAGGGTAAAATAGTGAACAAACCTTCCCACCTGTTCTACCCTCATGGAGTATCCAGTCCAGTGGGAAGGACACAGGGAGGAAAAATTGAATCACAAATGCTGATGGTGAATCCAAATGGTAAGAAACAATCTAAATGAAGCTTGTAAGAATATGTAACAGAGTGAATAGACTACCCTGACGGCTAGTGAGCCTTTCCTGAGAGGATAGTAGGTGAAATTGAAATGAGGTATTGATAGACATCAATTGCCTACTTTACTTTTCCCACAATCCCAACTCTTGCACACACATACGTGAATCTTGACCATTTCAGTAAATGTTTCGTTCTGTACCTAGAAACACTTGATACCTCCTTGACCTCTTTCTTTCCCTCCTAGCTTTTATCTAACCTACCACAAAGTCTTCTTAGTACCCCCTCCAGTATATCCTAAATCCCTCTCTACCTTCACTACACCATCCTTTCCTAGCCACTATTTTCTACCCCCAGACTCCTACCTTGTCCACATGTTACCACTCTCACCTCCTGTAATCCATGTTGCACACAAGTGAGAGATCCTTTAAATGTTTTGGAAAGTAAATTTGACATATATCATTGTGTAAATTTAAGGTATTTAAACTTTTAAATTGGGTTAATACCCTTCATTTGATATAAGACTTTATCTTTTGGGACACATTATTTTGCATAGTAATAAGAAAAAGTATGACATCATTATTTCTTGGAGTTTTTAGATTTATTTATCATATATGTAATATATGATATATATATATCTTTTGCATACTTAATATGAAAATGTAAATGAAACTGGTTAAGATATTTCCAAGGCAATGGCAGTAACTACTGTCTTAAAACAATGACTGAATGATACCATTCCTTTTATTTTATTTTATTTTATTTTATTTATTATTGTATTATTTTTTATTTTAGAGAGGGGGCAGAAGGAGAGAGAGAGAGAGTGAGAGAGAATCTTATGCAGGCCCATGAGCTCAGTGTTGAGCCTGATGAGGGGCTCGATCCCTTGACCCTGGGATCATGACCTGAGCTGAAACCAAGAGTCACATGCTCTATTGACTGAGCCACTCAGGCACCTCATGATTTTAAAATATGTTCTTAATTTCAGAGATACTGTCTTAAAATCTGTGATATTTAGCATTTTGCTCACATGCTGAATATTACTCAGTAGCTTTCCATTCCATTTAGAACAAACTCCTAAACCCTCACCATGATCCACAAGGACTTGCTTGGTAATACTCTTGACTGTCTCTATGATCTCATCTTTCATCACACTCCAAGTTCATTCAACATCATTTCCTCCAGTCACATTGGCCTTCTGTCTGGGTACTGAACTTGTCAAGTTAATTTACATCTCAAGGAAGCATTCTTGCTAAAATGCTCTCCTTTTAGTATAGAGACATTTCTTTTCCTCATGCAACTTCAGCTTTAATGTCCCTCTTCAATGAGAACTCTGATCATCTAGTATAAATTTGCCATCTTTACCTTTTCACCTTAATTTTTTTTCCAAATTATTTGGTTTGTTTGTATAAGCAGTTTTGCATTTTCTATATTTTCATAAAAAAACATACATCCCATGAAAATAGAAATGTTGCCTTTCTTATTTACTATTCTATTTACAGCCCACAACAGTGCCAGGCACATAGAGAGAGAACTCAAGAAAACTCTGTACAATAACTAATGACTGGATGAATTTTGAGTTAAAGGCAGAGATTGAGACTGGAGATATAAATTTGGAAAATATAGAAATATGGACACTTGAATGAGGAGAGTTTTTGGTTTTTGTTTGCTTTTGAGTGTTTTTGTTTGTTTGTTTTATTGAAAGGGAGGAGAGAATAAAGTAGAAACTAGGCCTAGTCAGAGAGTTTTCTACCTTTTTTGTTTGTTATTTTATTTTATTTTGTATATATAATGGTCATAAATATGGTAAAATGTTAATGAAAGGTGCCAGACAGGAAATGAAAGTTGAATACTGAACAAGAGGAATATTTCATTTGCTGAGTTTAATGATCTTTCCTTTAGAACTTTATTTATTCTTTTTCTATAAGCTATATAACTTGCTTTATGTATAAATAGGTAGTTTACTTTAAGTGAATTATGATTTCTAATATAATGTCTAAAATGGTAAGTTCTACAAATCTTTCTCTAGATCACTTGTAAATAAAAATTTTAAACACCACATTTTTAAAAAGCGAAGTTTAAAAGTACAAAAATAATCATTAAATTGGTTCTATTATAATATACATTTTTCTACTTATCTCTGTAAATTTTGAGTAGGTTTTGGATATGAAAATCTGATAATTAAATTTATGTTGTCTCAGTTCATTGAGACTGCTATACTAAAATAACACAGACTGGGTGGCTTATAAACGACAGACATTTACTTCTCATAGTTCTAAAAGCTGGGCATCTGAGGTCAGGTTGCCAGCATGAGTGAGAATCCTTTTCAGGGTTTCCAGATTTCAAACATGATGGTAGGAGTGAAGGATTTCTCTAGAGCCTCTTTAACAAGGGCACTAACTCCATCAAGAGGGCACTGTCGTCTCCCAATGGCCCAGTCCCAATATTATCATATTGGGCATTTGGATTTCAACATATAAATTTGAGGGAGACACAAACATTCAATCTATGTCATGTGTATTTTGCAAAGTTATTATCTGACCTAATAGCATCCAAAGGAAATTTTTCTCACAGCCTGTAAAATTCTCAAGAGAAATGCACCATTATGTTAAAGAATATTTTTAAAATTTCCTTGGGAAATTAATGCATCTCCTAGATTACTGCCAGTGAAAACTGTATATATTCTGTATCTTAATTTTTTCTCATTAGTAACCTTTTTTTTTATCATTCCTTTGATATTTTCCTCATCAAATTACTAATGAATATATAAATACATATCAAATTATACATGCTGGAATTTAACAA